AGCACTGTATAATTAGAAAGGGCTGATTTCCTCGACCACAGCAGGGGCTGAAATTGCAGGCCTTGCCCCAACCAGGGTTTTGGAAAGTAACTGAAATAGCACTGGCGAGTTTCTGTCCTTGTGTCCCTCTGCGTAATATAGTATCGGTCAGATGGCAGCGCAGTCACCATGACACACGGCTGCCTGTTCACCAGCACTTGGATGACAAGCTTTTATGTGGTGCCTCTTGTTTTCAGAACCAACTACCAAAATTACAACGTTGTCATAATCTCTTTTACATGCAACATGGCTGAAACCTGTATCGGCCACGACCTGCTGTGACTTCAGCAAGTGAACAGTTAGCTGGCAGCTTTGACTGTATAGCCAGTGTGGCCTCTGTTAAAGTTCACCTGCAAAGGACTGTGTGTGTTGCACTGCACCAGGTTTTAATCACCCAACACAAAATCAAAGATAATACCTTGTTTATTATGAAATCCTAACTGTATTTGTTGCTGTATTTGCCAGGTAAAAACCAAAGTGCTGTCACAGGAACTGATGAGAAATAGTTTTAAAAGTCAGAAGGTTACCATAGTTACACGTTTTGTTTTTTTTTTTTCTTCCCAATTTTTGATCTGTAGTTAAATTCTTCAGATTCCCCACACAGGGGTTTTATCATAATTATTTTGTGCTCATACTGTTTATGGTAATGAGGATGCTGTTAATGAATCGTTAAAAGACATTTTAAAGGCATTTTATGCTTGACTCAAGAGTCATAATTGAGAGATAAAAGGAAACAGTGAGAAGCACAGATAAGAAAGGACACACTATAAAAATCTGCAATGATACAAACTAGTGATGAGGAGCTCATGTTCAGTGCCTTAACCCCCGGCCCAACAGGGTAATTCATTCACCAGTAACTCCCCCACCCTCAACACATAGCAGAAAAAATAATGATGTAGGATCAGCAATTGAAATGCTGGGATTAATCTGTGTCATATGGTCTACTTATTGCTCCCCACTGAAAGAAACTGACTTAGAGTCCTTGCATTATATCATTCCTATTAGCACATATAACCCACAATGACACACACACACACACACACACACACACACACACACGTCCCACTCAGGACGAGGTGACAGCCGGTCCTGGTCTTTGCTGAGTGATCTTTGGATCATTCACAGGTTTTCTCCACGTCTGCAGGCATGCAGAGGTGTCATTGCAACCTTCTGCTTCCTGTGTCTGGCATTCTTCTTTGTTTAGGAGCCCTTTAAAACACAGGACAGCTTTGTGTCCCCTCTGGTGAGGCAGAGGCGTGGAGAAAAGGGGTCTCTGTTTCTGATTAGCCCAGCAGTCCAACAACACTCATTTCCCCAAAGAGAGAAGCAGGGTGCTAATAGTAACTTGCCTCTTGCATTTGAGTCCTTCTACAAACCTCGGGCTGCAGACAGGAGTCTGTGCTAATTTGCTGAAGTCCTCAAAACAGAACCGAAGCTAATTGTCATTGCTGTGGTTCACCACATCTGCAGTTATGATTTAGCTGGGTCTACTGACGTATGGTCTGCATTACTAGTTAGGTATTATATGTTATCTTGAGGTTGATAATTCATACATTTTAATTTGTGGCCATGATGAGTGGGCAACTTTGATTCTGCAGAATAGATTACTTTGCTGTCAATCTGTTTCATGGCTCGAGTGGTCTTTCCATGCAGAATTAGTTTTTAGTAAAGCAAAACCATGTTTTTTCCATCTAGAGGCTAAGCTAGTGCCCAGGTAAAGTCATTTGTAACCCCTGAGCTAAGTCACATGTACAGACTGTAGAGAAGTGCTTTTGTGAGTGTCACAAATAACTGTAATTTGATAGGTGCGACGGAAAAATGTAGAAAAACTCCAGTCCTAGATGTAAATTTGATAGCAGTGGAGAGAACAGTGACATCGTAAACTGGTTTATATTGCATGGCAGCAGTTCCTGGACAACTGGATTGCATTGCACACCACCACAACTAGCTTAGCCGTTTTTTTTCTGTTTCAAATTCTTTACGATTATATTACAGTGTGGGGTTTTTTTGGGTATTTTTTTTATTTTTATTTTTTCAAACATAGGAAACAAAAAAGGGTACAGACTTCTACTTTCATCAAGATGTGAATATCATACAGTTGTAAACCTGCTGTAAGGCTTGTGTTTTAGTGATTAGTGTCAGAGATTCATCAGGAAACGCTGTTGTCAGGACTGATGATGGTTTATTAGGCAGTTGTTCTCTGGTACGTGTAAATCTTTTTTTTTTTTCCTGCAAGCCATAAGCTAGTGAGGTTTTATTTTATGAAACTACTTCAAACTGTTGTGAACCAGGCTCTCAGTCATTAAAATATGTTTGACTGTAGAATATATAAATGTACAAATATTTACAGCATCTCGTATTTTTTTACTGTAGTTTTAAAACAAGCGTCAAAGACAAAATATGTAATTCACAGACAAAGCGGTGAATCTCTCCATTCTTATGATGTGACCACAAATTCTCACTGACATATTGTCCTTGTCTTTGACCTCGGTGTCCCCTTTTTGCTCACTGTGATGGATTACTTCTGTCAGCATCCTAACTACAGCACGACTAGCTTTTGCTTCCAGTTTTACAAACTTTATACAGCCTTAGGTGAAAAGATGCTCAGCTCACACACCAGGCTGTTAGTTTTGGTGGCGACTGACAGCGACTGTCACTGGCTGACTGACTCCTCAGCAGAGTGAGGGATGTAAGTGATTGTTTTCTTATCTGGTAATCTTAAAATAAACATATTAAATATTCATGAGCCCAGTTAATGGATGTGCTTGTTTTCCAAGTTTTGGATGCCCTGCGGGGGGGAGAGAGAGAGGGAAAGACACCTCTCAAAATCACATTTTGTTTGTCCATGAAACACCAGCAAGGTTCCGCCAGCCTGTGTAGTTAGTGAATTACACATTATCTCAACTCTGTGGTCAATGACACAGCCTTATTTGCTCCACTAACTTGGATGTCCTTCTCATGTGTCCCAGAGGCATGAGAAATGCTCACAGGTCCATGACCCCTGGTTTAAATACATATTATATGGTCCTGTTTTTCCCAGATCCAGGTCTGTTCTGTGTTTTTTCACCTTTGCTGGTTGTCCTTATTTATTTATGTTTAATGTGTTTTTCTGGCAGGCATTCTGTAGTATGCGATTTATTTAATAAACACAAACAGTATTTTTTTTTGCTTAATGTCCCCAAATTCATTCAGTAAATTACTCACCACATTTGGGCTGCATGGTAGCTCAATGTTTAGCACCTCACAGCTAGAAGATCCCTGGTTCCTGGCCTGGGTCTGGGATCTTCCTGTGTGGAGTTTGCATGTTCTCTCGGTGCATGTGTGGGTTCTCACCGGGTGCTCTGGCTTTCTCCCACAGTCCAAGGACATGCTGAGGTTATTTGGTGCTTCTAAATTGTCCATAGGTGTGAATGTGAGCGTGCTTGGTTGTCTGTTTCTATGTGTGGACCTGCGATAGACTGGCGATTTGTGGGATGTCTTGACATAGATGTCTTGTCAGTATTGTATGGAAGTTTGGGGAGAGTGATTATAGATGTTATTCTTTAATTATTGGGGTGTTGGATGACTGAACCTTCTAAGGAAAGCGTATGCTAGGGTGCTGGCAAGGAGGCTGCCTCCAGATCCAGGAGGAATGGTGCAGAATCTGATCTGGTTGTGGAACAGTGGAGCAGTGCTTCAGCCCTGCAAGGTTACAAGGAATGTCCTGGAAGTGTTCACACGTTTTTTGCACACTTCGATAAAGTTAATGACTCTTCTTGAGTCTTGCCTTGGGTACAGCAAGAATTAAGGGGCAGGTGCTGTTGATACCAGCCCGTCTCGTTGTGATACAACCAGAGTAAAAGCTGTGTCTGTACTTTCATTCGAAAGCCAAACACTGTCTGAGTTGTAATCTTAATAGATACATGGGTCTGGGTTGAGACCTCTGTGTTTTTTTTCTCTACTCTTTGCTGATGATGTAGTTCTATTGGTTTGCAGCTAAGTGTGAACTGGGTGAGATGAGAATCAGCGCCTCCGAGTCTGAGCCTGTGCTCGTCTGCTGGAAAACAATGTGTTTCTCCCTCTTAGTTACGAGTTGCAGCCCCAAATGCAGAAGTTAAAGTATCTCATGGTTTTGTTTACGAGTCAGGGTAAAATGGAGCGAGAGATTGACAGCTGAATTGGTAATGCCGGCTTTGTAATGGACCACTGTGACTGAGAGGGAACTGATCTGGAAGGCACATTATTATTTGATTTATTTTCCAACCCAAACTGACAACTTAAATAAACCTCTCAATTGCAAACAGTTCTTGGAGTGGAGTATGTGAGTTTAGCATTGTAATCAGAGTTGTCTTAACTGACGCGCCTACAAGATTTGAATCTTTGAAAACGTAGATGCGTGGTTAATATTTTAGTTTTGTTCATATCACTCCAGAAAATGTCAGCCGGGGACCACTCCAATGTTTACTGAAATCCATTTTTAGCCCTGCTTGATAAGCTGATTTCTCTGCAAGCCTGTGGGAGCCGCCTGTGTAACAAGGTTGCATAACAGTTAACTCAACACTTTGAAACTATATGGGTGTAAAAAGCTGTATGACGATGTGGGAAATCTGTGAAAACTCATTTGTTGAACTGAAAATTGCATCGTTAAGCGAGCAACACCTTTTGCACTATATGTCCAGTGTGAAATAAACTGGTTAACAAAGCAAGGTAATAATCCAAATGTTTATTTCTCAACTCCAAACCACAGGTAAAAGGTGTATTTCTGTTTTTTATTATCAGCATTCTGTACTCACACATAGTGCTAGCAAGTGTGCAGTACAATAATGTAACACACATTAGAATTAATATAATATAAGCCTGCATTAGGTGTGTGTTTTCTTCTAAGTTAGGTCTCTGCCTAGTTATTTCGTTTCTTATTCATTATAGCACTATGTCAGAGCTATTTGTCAAAGCGCTAACAAGTTTGTGGTTCTTCTCAACAGGTGAGCTTCACAGCCATAGTGCCCAAAGAAGATTCTCGCCGGAGGGAAACCTTCAGCCCCAGGGGCCTGGCAGTGGCCTCCCGAATGCCCAAGATGATGTTTTCAGGTTAAGCCTTGCTAAGGGAGTGTCCATGTCGCTCCCCTCCTCACCTCTGCTGCCGCGGCAGTCCTATATGATGCCCCTACGCCCTAACAAGAGATCACCAGGTAACCTTTAATAATTTGCTTCACCTTGTTCTTCCGCATTCTCTTTCAGGCCTCATTTGCTATTTGATACTCATCTATTGAATTGTTTTATGGTCTGAAAATTTGTTTTAAATAATCATAAGTTGTCCCCACATTTCAAATTCAATTCCACATTTTTTGGTAGTGATGATCTTGTAACTACTCTGTCACTGTTAGAAAAGTAGGAAGAAAATCAGTTTGCATTGAAAGTGTCTTACTAACCTTATATAATGTTGTAAGACATCCTACACGCTCTTAACCCTAGCTCTTAACCAAGACAAGCTAAATGTGCTGCATGCGTTTGGGTTATTCTTATTCTTTTTATTCGTTGAAAAGTAATTCAGTCACATAATGAAAGCTTCATTTGCCTCAATAGGCCTGCTATAAAAGCGATCGCTCTTGTCTACCTTCAGGTGCCTTTGTGTAATTGCTGAACATCTGACAGCCCTCCAGGAATGACAGGTGCTCTCAGCCTTAAAACTCTGCCTGTGCAGCTTTTAACTTATTGCTCTCTGAAACATGTCAAACAATTCTGAGTAATTGTCACTTCTGGAAAAATAAACGTCACACTGTATGGAACAGTTATAAAATAACGACAGCTGGACCATTGTGGATCCCAGCAGTTCGACTGCGAGCTCGGTCTGCTTCCCGAGAATTGTTTTTGTCATGTCACCCATGTATTTGATCACTTTGTGTCGAAGCAGGGATCTCTGCAACTGTGTGTTTACACTTTACTGGCTGGTAATAGGCGTGTGTTTACACTGGATCTAAGTCCTCGCAGACTTCTATCCTCCATGTTGAGAACATGTTTGTCAGCAGCTGTGGAGTGCTTCAAAGCAAAGAATACCTTTGTAGCTGAACTTGTTTCAACCTGAATCTTTGTATTCTGCAGACTTGGCAAAGAGGAGAGAAATCCTTTAAGTGGTCAATGTAGCCCCTCTCACATGTGGCACTCATCTGTGGGCTATCAAGCCATTGTTTAGATTGGTTACAGCTTTGATCTGTTTCGTGTAAAGATGAGTTAATGGGAAGTAGATGATGTCGTTTGCTTCTTATACACAACCTGTGCTGTTGAAGATCACATCTCTGCTAAGAAATTGTCATTTTGTTGTTCAACTTAAAATGTATGTTGTTGCATTTCATTGTATTATTTAGGATAGAAGTGTGTATGCTGTTCTGTCTTCGCTGTCTTACCTGATTTTTGTGCACATTTTCTGCAGTTTTCACCGCAAAATTTAAAAACCCCACATTGGACTTGACATTGTAACGCAGTGCCTCAAGCAAATGTTCAGTGGAAACTGGATACGCAGTTGCAAATATGCTCACTTGTAAAAAGAAAACCGTAAAGCAGAAGACTAACAGTTTATAATCGCCAAGGAGGGTTTTGTTTGCTCAGCTGCCACTGAAGTTAAATCTATTTAGTTCCTTTGTTCTCCGTGATACAATGAAGAAGACTCTCTTAAAACCACCAATTAAAGCGCTGATGAAATGTGCATTTACAGACATGAAGGGAGGGAGAGAGGGAGAGAGATGAAGAGAGGGAAGAGACTGAGTTTGTGAAGGTGAAAAGGACCCTGGGGACAGGGGAAGGGAAACACTCATTAAAAGCATATTCCCTCTTGGGGTGCTCTAAGGCATGGAAAAGGGAAAAAAATGGACTGACAAGCTAGGATGTCATGGAGGACCACCAGTGAGCGAGGGTTGGGGGAGGGTCTGTCGGCTCTCCTCCACTGTCCTCACAGGTAACTGTGAAAAACCCGCAGGGGGAGAGTTCACACTTCCAGTTAATATACACATGCTGCAGGAAATGTCTCAGCTCTGCGAGGAAATCAACATTTTCTCTTCTTGTTGAGCCAGAGAGCTGACATCGTATACTCAATTTAAGATGGATCTATGCTGAAACGAGCATCTTGTCCTCAAAATGGATGGACTTGAGATAACTCTGTGATTTATTGACGCGACGCAGATGTTCCTTTAGAAACAAAATTGTCAGTGCTTATAGTTTGTTTGATTTGTGTGTGATTTCTTTGCAGGAATGCCGTGATTACTGATAGCATTTCATCACAAACACGGGGTAAAGTTCACGAGGGTGCTGGATTTTGTGGTTGGTCTCATTCAGTCAGAACTAGCAGGTAGTTGCATACTGCATGAAGCTGTGAAGACCATTCATTTTCCAACAAAGGAAAGGTATTTTGGAAGTGTGTGTCGACATGTGATTCCCTACTATTATGCAAGCACTTCTACAAGCAATTCACCTGAAAGAAACTACAGCTAAGTTAATACAGTTTAACTCAAATGCATTTTCATGAATATTGCCTACAAGCTGCTCTTCAGAGCCGTCCTCCAGGAATAAACATCCTGCACGTTGCAAGTAGGCGACTATTCAAAAACCTCTAAAAGAACAATGTTTTTTGACTCCTAAGTCTAAGTTTAGAAATATTCCTAACATTTCAACTGGTAACTACTCTGGTTATGTCCTCAAATCATTCTACCCACATTTATTAAATACAGCACTTCCTTCTGTGCAGTCTTTTACACATCTGTTTGATCTCCTTCCCATGCAGCCATCACTGATGTCTTTGAGGGGAAGTGGTTTCACAGATTCAGAATGCATTTTGTGGCTGGGCTTCATTTCCTGACACGTCGGATAATCTATTGCCATTTGGAAGGCCCCAACTCGGTGGTTGTTCTTTTCATGAAAACTTCACAGGGGACAACAGAGAAACATTGAGTTAATTAGGAGTGTGACGGATGCCTGAGCCGCAGAGTCTAGTGGCGTTGAGCGCCACAGCTTTGATCAGCTAACCCCAGAGCTTAACCATGAAACACAGCACTCTGACATGTGTTGAACAGCACCTAGACTTTACTGTCTGTTTCAAGGCCCCTTAAAGACCCTCCCTGGGCTTGAATGTAGCTGTCATGCTCCCACTCTTCTTGCTTCACCCCCAATGCAGGTCAAAGGTCATGTGTCTAAAATCGTGAGCCCCTTTCTTAAGTGGATCAAACATAGTCAGCGACACATTAGATGATGTTTTCATGTCTTTTTGAACAGTTTAAAACTGCTCCTGCTCCACCTCTCTAACGTCTCCTGGGTATCTCCACAGTGACCTCCACTGGTTGTAAGAGGTTATTGTGCCATTGTGGTATTGAAAGCATCTGTCTCTAATGTTACACTGCTTAGTGGGTTGTGTGTTAAGACTTTATGATGCTGTTGAATATGCAGCAGTTTGCAACAGCTTGGTGTGAACAGCACTACAGAGTAAGTCAGGCATAGCTGATAAGATGTTCGTCACAATGAGGTTGCACTAAGAGGTTTAAGGACAGTAGACGCAGAGGTGATACTGATGCAGTAGATGGATGACCTTTCCGTAGTTAGACCCGTGCTTTGCTTCTGCCTGAGCCTGCAAAGGATCATAAAACAGCAATTCATCGTAATTTATTGCTATCATGGGCTGTATCAATTTAATTACTATATATGCAATGTGGTCAGAGGGGTAACGGTCTCTGGTAGGCTGTTATGTATATCAAAATGGGTTAATTGCCTTTTGCTTTTGTCTTTTGTGGGTTCAGGAGGGGATTAATTTATTGATTAGCATAGCAGGTCTGCACATCACCAGCAGAGAGCATGGTTTGCTATTTAAAAGTGATCTCTTTGTGTTATGCAGAAAGGCTTTGAGAACCTTTTTTCTGACATTCAGGCAGGGCTCTCACCTTGCTGATGTTGTTTAGCTGGTAAAATCACTCTTACATTGCTCCTGTTTTACTCTCCAACCTATAACAATCCGACAGCTTTTGGCCTGCCAGACCTCGCCCTGTTGTTTGCGTGTGTGTAAGCCAATGACCTACTGGCCTCTTTGTCTCTTATCTCCTCTTTATCTCTGTTTTGTGGCAGCAGCTGTGAGTACCTTGACTGCTGTCTATTAGTGGAGGTGAAGTGCTAAAGCCACTGTACGGCCCGTTTTTGTTTCTACTTTGGATGATGCCGTAACTATTTAGTAAAATGTTCCGTGTTCTATGAGATCATCATTTTGGATAAGAAGGCAGCTTTAGCTGTAGCTGCAGGGGATATTAACACCGCAGGCAGCATAAAAATGTTCTGAAGTTATCATTAACCCCTGCTCCAGAAAAATCTCACAGGCTCCAGACATTAGGTAAAAGCAATTTGGTGAAATACTTCAGGATTTCTCCATAGATTTGCACAGTTTCATAAAGCCTCAGCGTTACAGAGCAGTCATTAGCAGCATGTGCAAGTTCAAGGGTATTGTCTGCTTTAGTCAAAACCACTTCTTCTAACAGAAGTTTGGGATTCAACACGCGAGATGACTCTTTTTCACTTCATTTCCAGCTTAACACAAATAATATTAAACATACATAGGAGACATCATTTGGGTGTGTACAGTGTTGATCTATATCATTTATCTACAACACGAGTACAGTTTATTCTGCGGTGCTGTCAAGAGGATAGAAACTCTCTTCAAAGCCAGTTGTTGCCCCTTTGAGGTGAGCTCTCCTGAAGTCAACTCTGGGGTTTCGACAGTAACCAGACAGCCCTGGGGGAATATTGATGCCTTTCTGAGAGCTGAGCTGTAAAAGACCTTGTGAGGCTGCAGGGACCCTTTGAAAGGTTCCTCTGATGAGCACCCTGTGAAAAGTACTATCCAGTTCTCCACTCCACCGCACTTCACTACACCCCAGCTTTGGTTCCTTATCACATGCAATACCCCTTTCTCATCCGCAGTGAAATCTCAAATCACCTACTGCCTCAGAGACCAGTGCTGAATAAACTGCTACCGCTTCCTGAGCTAGTCAGTGGAATTAGGATGCTCATATGATATAGCGGTGTATCATAGAGATAGATTGTAAATGGGTGAAGGGGGAAAGGGAAAAATCTTGGCTTACTTTACATTGCTCGAGTTTTTGAAAATGTATGACTCAAGTGCACAGCGGAGACTCGAACATAATTCAAACCGCCTTGTGAAAAG